ATTTAAACGAAAGCGACCAGCAGGGCAATAGTACACAATAATAATATTATAATGCAATACGTAATAATAATAATATTATCGGACGACATTAGCGTGCCGCTAAAGAGTCGCCGCCGCGGGTCAACGAGCATGGTTCGTATATAGTTAAACACGTCATACTAATAACTATAATGACGGTCGCATTAGCACGCCCCCCGAGTGCTCTAATTGAATATTACTATGCCGTGGAATATATATTTTCTGAATATTCCGTAGAAAGAGATCGTCGGGGGAAAATAATAATAATAAATAATATATATAATATAATAATAGAAAAAAAATAATAAAAAAAAAATACGTATACACGCACAAAACCGAACTCGTCGTCGTCGTCGTAGACGGAACCCGGACGGAAAAAAATCCATCCGTCATCGCGCGGGTCCAAATCGGCGTGTCGGCATCGATCGAGGTGTTATTACTATTAGATAATCATATAGCGTGTAGGTTAGGTTTTTTTCCTCTACATAATACACTAATCAATTATTCCGGGCGCCTGTTTATTTTTATTTTTTTTCCGTATTTTTGGCTTTTCATCATCGCTCGATTCAAGCTATAATAATGATCTAGTCCGTGTCTATACAATGTACCTGTAGGATGATATTGTATAAGTCGCAGCACGATCCAAAACTACTATTTGGCGGATATAATATTATATATACCTACTTTATACGCGTGCGTATACATAAACATAGTTATTTTTGATAACTTCATCGTGCTAATATATTGTGTGTAAGTATTCAGAAATCGCGTGTGAAAACGAAAAATCTCTATAGGTTTAATACGTACCTATATAGGTATTGGATACACCGATAGTTGCATAGACAATTATTAACGTAGACTATTTAATAGATAGTATTTATGTTTTATAATAATATAGATTATACAATAGACTCTTAGTTGCGTTTGTTTACATATTACATTTTTTTTGATCCTCGATATTATTTTGTCGGGATGAAATGCAATAGTTGTACTTAATAGAATATAACTGTGAACAAAAACAAATTCTATTAACTTTAAGTTATTTAATTTTTTTTTTTTTAATAAATTGTATTTATCAAGTTAAAACAATACCGGAATCAATAAACTTCATCATAATTCGATAATGTACCTACAATTATATATAATATGACATGTATAGGTGATACCAGTAGAGGTTAAATTGGGGGTACGCGGTCCCCCTACCACTGATGATGGTTAAAAAACGTCCCCTTTAACAAATTCGGATTGACATTATTCAGGGTTAATTATTTACTGTTCTTACATTAGACATTACACATCAAATTATATATGATTTTTATTATTATAACTATATGGAGATAGTAGTCCCCCCTGAAATTGTTCCCCCTTTAAGCTACCTATATATTACTAGCTAATATGCTGCAGTTTATATAATATTTGAAAAATAACCATTATTATTTATTATTACGTATGTTATAACTTAAATTGTGTATTAAATAATTATAGGTAGGTACATTAAGAACAATATAAACACAAGCGCACAACAATATTTCACTATAATATTATATCTACAACTCATAACATAATATTATATTATAATATACATTTTATAATAGGTTACCTAGTGACTTCAATGCACGGGTACAAACTACAAATATACAATAACATACATATTAAAATAATTGAAAAGCAAAAACTTGCATACAGAAATAGGGTAGTAGTGGTGTTGCCAGAGAGATGTTTTGGTTGTTGAAAAACCTCCATTGGCCATATTTATGCAAAAAAAACTTACTATATTATGCTTCAGATTTCCACAAAATATATTTTCATACGGTTCTATAAGTTCTATTTAATTTTGAAATTATATATAAATAATAAGGAGTTTGAATAGTTTGATATCTACAATCATAGGGAGTGTATATAGGTACAACCCACCCCCCATCCCATAAGTTATATTTGAATACAAAATTACAAAATTAAAACACCTCCTTAAAAAATCCTAGCCAGTGGCCGGTTGAACAAATATTACCTAGGTTCTTTTCAATATTATTTTGTAAGATAAAACCACCCGTTCTTGTTCATTTACAATATATTATCTTGGTACGGTCACTGGTCAGTTCTCTTCGTGAAACCCATACTATTATACTGCCATATATAGGTATACCTAATCGCCGTTTAATTCGTATACATGCTCCTATTATATACGTAATACGTATAATATTATCTTTTATCCTGTAAGCCCGGCTATATTATATACTCAACGAAAACGCCGTTTTGCGGTTTTTCGTCTTACAAATTATTTCGTGTTGGTCGCACTCCCTCCGGATACGCGTCGGTTTTGAATTCCGGTCGCGGCGTAGTATCCACCACGTATTTAAGGATAATGTGTAAGAATAGCTAACCTAAACGTGTGCGCCGTAATCGACTTCCCCATATACCTGACAAGTGGCAAGTGTATAAAATATAATATACTAATAAACAAATACTTTCAACGTGATATACGATCCACCCTCATCCGCTAGTAGTTGAGACGTCATGAAAGTAGTAAAAACTGGTACTTGCCTATTATACCTAAAAGCCGTCGAAGTGAAAAGGAAACCCATAATAGATGTTTAAGTTGCCTTTTAATATGGACGGACACAATAATAATAACAGTAATAATTTAGGTTATCTGAAACCATTGATTCTATATGTAGGAGCTCTGTTAGTAAACAACGTAACGTACAGTAATAGTATAACACGACCGTCACAACAATAAATTATAAAGAAATATAAAAATTAAAAAGAATATAGAAATAAGAATAAATATACAAAGAACAGCGGTTTACTGCACATGGGGTATTCGCTGAGGCTATAAACGTCGTTCGTTCAATTGATAGTCGACTGTGACTTAATTTATTATTTTAACGTAATATAAAAACAGATACAACACAAAATTAATTTAATTTAGGACATTTCGAGGTATTTTCGCACTAGACAATTATAGTGAATTTATGTATAGATGACATATACAGCTTCTAACTCATAAAACATTTTATAACTATTAATCATATAATTACGTACAGATCTACGACTGATCGCGATAATCTGTGAATTGTGATCGTGAAAATATGTTGCAGCTTCGAAAAATTGATTTATATTACAATGCGAAAAGCGGCACCTACCATAAAAAATTATATTCAATTGTAGTATTCAATGTAGTGCGTTAAAGTCTCTTCGAAACATATTATGTTTGAACTAATAATATTACACTGCAATTACAATATAAGTACACATGGGGACAGTGAATCGATGATGCGCATCATATTTCTGACAACGCAAACAGTATAATATCGTTGTTAGTTTAACATTAAATACATAATATATCTATTATAGCCGCATTCGTAGGGGTGGCAATATAATATTATATAATCTGCTTAATCACAGTTATTTTACTCGATTCTTTGTTCCGCTCTGGCTAGTATAAAAAAAAATATATATTATTCTGAATCACAACATTTAAAATACATATGTTATTGAAATATCGTTTCAAAACGTGAACAGACCATACAGACTGAAATCGTATACGTGTATGGTACCCGGTCACGAAAAAAAGTGTTAAACCATACCTATAGGAATTCTTGACATGTGTGGGTAAAATGGGTAGTCCTACTGTTGTAGGTTAAGTATATAATAGTACAACAATTATCCAACTATGATGTAGTTGCAAAAGAAGTATAAGTTTTTAAATAGTTTTATTATTATTATTAAAGTTTATCGGAACCAATTCGTATGTCACCTGTAGACCACCCAGGAACCAATTCGGTAATTTGGAACTAACCTGTAGGCGTCCTTAGCTGATATAATAAAAATCATGGTGAAAATCATAGCCCGACATTTTGGCCGACAACCGTAAACCGAATTATATTATAATGTTCATTATGATAGGTACTCACCTAAGTTATTATTAAAAAACATTAGATAGAAACCAACTTAATACTCAAACGTCAGTCATCGATACTATTCGTCTATCGAATTTCTGTCATTTCGATCGCCAATTTGGCTGTTTTGTTATTATAGTTGTTTATTATTGATACTAGGTACGTGATTAAACGAATTTTCCATGCTATAATATAATATAATGCCACCCTTGCACACCAGACGTCCTATAACCCGCTATAGCGACGGGCCTAATAATATTATATCAGTCCGGTGAAACAAATTCACCTGAAAAAGACGTATGAAAACATTATAGTGATTAGTGGTTACATTGTTATGACCTCTACATAGTGGACACTCCTGATGGTGGACACAAAAACCTATACAAAAATTATGAATGAGTTACATCTCATTAATGGACATGACGTACTGTTCGAAATGTTTAAGTAATACAAATATTATAATCATACATTTTGTTCATATTATTTTATTTTCTTAACCGTTAAGGATTTATCATATTTCTATTTAGATGACAATCTCCTTGCAGAATTAATAACAAAAATATCAGAAATGATAAATTATTGCAATGAGGACGATAATATTATTATAATATGTCGAGTGAAGAAGATACCGACCAACACGTAGTCTTATTAATATTGTAATTGTGTAGGGTCGGTGCTGTTGCTGCTGCAGTGGCGGCGGTGGCGTTCTATTTGTCAGGCCGCGTGCGACCGGGGCGGAGCGTGTTGTGGGGAGAACGTTTATAAAACGCGTTACCGGTCCCTTCCGGCCGATCAGTAGCTCTCGGCTAACCACATCGCACACACGTGATCCGTCGCACAATTATTGAAACAATACTTCGTCGACGCACACGATATCTTGGAAGACGCATTTTGATTATTTTTTTTCACCGTCGATTTACATTTTACTCGAGTACAGTACCGTTTTACAGTGCGCGTGTTCAATCGACCGCAGCAAAGTGCGAAACCACTTGGTATATTGCAAAGAGATTTTTGAAAAATAACATTCGCTTTTTTCGCGATCTTTTCGACTGACACCGATAACACATAACGATACATTATATAATGGCGTCGGTACTGAACATGAACTACGGCGCGTACTTCGGCGGCGACCGGTACGACGTCGATCAGTACGACTTGTCGGCCAGCGACACGCTCCGCGCCGTCTACGAGGCGGCTTTCTCCAACGGCGGCGCACCGTCGTCGTCGTCGTCGTCGGTGGCCACGGCGTCAACGGCCCAGGGTGTCGGCGTCGACGTTTCGGCGTCAATGATCGACGTTTCGGCGTCAATGATCGGCGTCTCGGCGTCAATGATCGGCGGCATGAGAGGCGGTTCGCCGGCCGGTTCCGCGTGCACGGTCGTCACCACGTCCACGGCGACGGCATCGTCGTCGTCCTGCGCCGGCGACGATCCGAAATCACCGTACGGCGGCTGCGGCTTGGGCGAGACGGCCCTCGACTTTGGCGCCTACGACGACGGACTGGGCGACGACCTCGCGGCCGGCGAGGGCGGCTGCACGGACAAGGTGACGAAGAAACGCCGCTTGGCGGCCAACGCCCGGGAACGGCGGCGCATGCAGAACCTGAACAAGGCGTTCGACCGGCTCCGCACCGTGCTGCCCACGCTCGGCAACGACCGGCAGCTGTCCAAGTACGAGACCCTTCAGATGGCCCAGACCTACATAACGGCCCTTTACGATCTGCTCCAGTGATCAGTCCTTTCGAGGCTCTCGGGCCCTGCCGTCCGACGAATATTTGCTCCACGAAGTGTACGGTATACGTAGGTAACCTAACCTACGGTCAGACTAATCCAACCTATAACCTACCTACCTCTGATAGTAATAATATTCTGTAGGCAGGTGGCGAATTCCAAGTAATAATATTATATAATATTACCGCTGCCCCACAACATATTATTATTATTTATATCGGAAACGACGCTATATTATAATATTATATATGTTTAAATGATAAAATAATTTTATAATATTGATATAAATATTTATATCTAATATTGTGAATTGTCCGGTTCCTCGTTCGTCAGGGCGCGTATTTTATTATTATTATTATATTTACATAAACTATAGACTCACCACCGATTTAGGAAATTCGACTCATCCCTCTTTGAACGGATTATAAATAAGGTATTTTACTCGTATATTATTATTATATTATTGATAAAGATGCAGAGTGGTCGATTTTATGTACACTTAAGATCTATAATAGTCAGTGGCTGATTTACGGGGGTGCCAAAATAATGTATGTTTAATGAAAGTCGATACTTACTTTTTTTTTAGTATAAAATAATATAAAGTCTTTGAAATACACAATATTATTTTTAACTACCCCCAACCACCAAAGAAAATGTTTTTTTGAAAATCCGCCACTGGCTCCATAATATATCACGACCACTATATAAATTATGCCACACGAGTATAATATTATAATATGTTATCATTATTTTTACTATTATTTTATTGTTGTATATCACCCTAGTCTGATGTTTATTATTGTCTTTTTTATACTATTATCAAATCGTATAGTATGTAAGCGTTATTTTTATGACGATATATATTTTGGTATACGCATCGCGTCGTCTGGCGTGTAAATAAATAATATCATTATAATGGCGACCGTAAAATATGACGTAGAAACGCATCTTTGTCTACTGCTGGGGACGACCATCGAAGTAGATTGAAAAATTGTCATTCGTCGGGTGCTCGATCGTATTTTCGTGTAATATCTTTCCGTCCTCTAATATATTATATATTATTATTGTATACATGTTAAGCCAATTCGCCAAAAACTGTGATAATTTTTTGTATACCTAAACGTATATTGTATTTATATTAGACGTTAAGTAATATTATATTTTGTAAATTATGTTTTTTTAAATATTTTTTTTATTATTATATGATTACTGTGTATATATATACATAAATATATATTATTATTATTATTATTATTATTATTATTGTATATAAATAGTGCTCAACAATAAACGAAAAAAAATTGTCTATACTCGAAATCTGATCGCTTGTACGATTTTTATTATTTACTATACGTTTACTCACCGACGTAATAATATTATTATTACACATTATTATAATTATTATCATCGCATCGTCAACACGTACGTGGGGCGGAGACGATAGTGTTATTTCCGATACGATCGCGGTGATGATGGGCGTCATAATATAATATTATAACTTCTTGACCTTTTTCCCTCGGAGTTCCCCCCCCCCCGCCCCACTGCAGTTAAATAATACAACGTTAATTGAGTAGGCAACACGTTGCGGAGAAGAAGCGTATGAAAAAAAAATCTCTAAAGAGAAAAGGGTAACAATGGCGGACGACTTCCGTTCACACCGAAATCTCGGAACCAAGGGTGAGTCTTCATCTCGTCTAAGACAAAAGTCAGAGTGAACTACTCGTCTTTCTCACGGGCCCTCTGCGTGTGTGGGTACGTTGTGTGTGTGGGTACACTGGAGGGCAACAATAAAACGTAGTTAAATATTGTTGAACGCCATCGATTTATGGCGTTATATTATGTTATACTTTTTTCGGGTTTATTATGGTTTTTTTTTCCACTCAAAACTATACGTCATAATAATAGATATACGATATAGTTACGAGTTCTGAAACGTGTGATATTCGTTCGTTAGGCATCGCCCCACAACAATGATAATTAAAGGGCCGCCGATATATGCAGGACGCGCGGAGACGGATGTATAGCACGAAAATTTATTATTATATATATTATATTATTATTATACTTAGCATAGGTTACACTGCACCTCAAAGTGGCACATTTCCACACGTCAATGCCAACAGCTTCATAACTTAACATTTTCTGACAAGGGTTCGGCGCAGCAAACCCTTAATCTAAATAATGGATAATGCGTTAAAATAATGATCACAATCAACTGCTAATAATCTGAAGTACGCCGTCTATTATATAACATTATATTATTATAATAGAGCTCGGCGAAAGGTAATGTATATTATATTGTAATAATCGTATAATTATTATTTATCCCAAACACTGCGCGTAAAATCAAAACAATACGTATTATTATTATACGACGTGTCGAATAAAAAAACAATTGAGAGTTTGTATATTTTTGTATTTTTTTTTTATCTTTAAATTTAATTCATAGTGGTCCACTGTTCAGTGTGTTCACATAGTTAAAACTATTATAAGTTATATAATATTATTTAGGCTAATTATTACTGGTATTATATTATTATTTATTTATTCTACGTTTTTTACTTTATTATATTACCTATATGGAAAACTTTTTATGCAGCCTAGACAGTACATATTATGGGACCACTTGCAACATTCTGCTGCATAACATTCACTTAATAAATATCAAAATAATTTTGAAATCATAAAAATAAAGTCTATTTTTATTTCAAATTTAATTTAAATGACAAAATTCAAAATGTAATAAATAAAAATGAAGAATTTTTTTATATTATTAAATCATAATTTGTTTGATAATTTCCGCACAAAGTCTAAACGAGCCATTTTGCTTGTTTGCATTTCTTTAATTTAATGAAATGCTCATCTTACATGAAAAGATCGATTTCGTGAAGTGGCTCTACGACATTTATAATGTCAATACAAATAAAAATCCCCATGTACCTATATTAGGTAAAAGTAATACTATAAAATTATTTATAAATATATACAATAATAATTTTGAATTATGTGTACCTAGTTAAATATTATATTATATTACAGCACATCCATAATAATTGTAATTATAGTTTGAAACAGAACCAGAAACAGAACTAGGAAGTGAAAATAGAGAGAAGTGGCAAGAAATTGTGGAAGCAGCGAAGGCCCTCAATGGGCTATAAAAGCTAAAAAAAAAAAAAAATAGTTTGAAATGTTTGGTTATTTTAATTGTTATTTGACAACACATGCCTATATAATCTAATATTGTATAGCCTCGATATAATAACATTGTTTTACGACACTTTTTCCAGAAATATTTATAATAGTATGTAAAATGTAAATAATTGGAAATACGATTCTGACTTCGGCTTTACACATTTTTTGTGTATAATTTTGTAAAATTGGATCAAAAGTTACATGTATATAGTATACATTTATGATTTATGGATGAGAAAATAATAATATATTAATCCTCAATTCATAATAACCGGTTACACATAATATGATGAAAAATTATGCTGAACTGTGACACCCACCCTCGCTGGGAAATTGTTTTTCGAGTGACGATGATTCCTCACTGTTGTCTACAATATTAATATAATATCAATAATAATGTATAGACCTAGCTGCATTATGGCTGGTATCATTTCTTCATGTATTTTTGTTTTAAAAAAGTATCGTGGGTTTTTTTGTTTTATTATAAGCATTATTAGTACCTACTTGTGATATCTATCGATATTATATTATTATAGTAAACAGACATAAAGGTAAATAATATTCGTACCGATGCCAAATATAGAAGCGAGCGTATTATAAAAAACAAATTTCTATTTCAACCAAAAAATATAAATTGTCAAGCTTTACCTAGACTTTATACTTTAATTTTTTATACAGTAACACGTTGATTGCCTATATGTCTGAAATCTGAATTAGTGTCCTCTTTTTCAGTGTTTTTATCTCGATTTTAGGTTTCTAAGTATGAGTTAGAACACCATACATTCTCGTTGTTGGGCTTCTAAACATAAGTTATGTACAACACATTATATTCCCGTTGTGTCCTTTTGTTAGTTATCAATAGTTAGGAAGTACATAGTTACGATTGTTTATATTATTAAGATATTTATTTACTGTCGGTGGTTACTGTACATAGTCACGATTGTTTGTATTAGGATATATTTAATTACGATTGGTTATATTAAGATAAATATTTATTAGTTATCGTATAAGTATTTAATAAAGATTTATACTAACCAAAATATTAAGGTTAACAAATTAAAAATTATGTCTAAACACTAAATTGTATTTAAATATTCAAGTTTACTGCGTTGTATTAAAATACGTTTAGAAACCTGAAATTAAATACTAAAAAATAAAAACTAAGTATAGGTATATACAACACTTACCTCTACCTTCAGTATACCAGTATTATTCTGAAACAGTCAGTATAAAGACTTTATTTGACCCCTAAAAAATATTCACTGTAATATAGTCAGACGTGCAGAAAACGAAATGGCAATGTACAACAATACGATTTAAGCCCAAAGGAATTTCGGAGTCAGAGTTGAAGACCTATAATGGATAGGTACAAAGGCGTAGACCACCCGAACCACCGTTATAGTGCATTTCTCGTGTATTCCATTGTAATTGTTTTTATACTTGTCAGTCTACGAACCTAACGTGGCGGCATGTACATATAAAATATATAGTGACGGGAGACGGATTTTCTTCCAGCAAAGGTGTACAAATAATATTATACATCGTATGGTTGCAACAATTACAAACGTTATCAGACGCCGCCGCTGATAATAATAATATTATAGTGGTGGAAATTCCTCAGGTCGAATACATATACCGTGAGAAAGTCCGGTTGACCGGTAAATCATCGGTCTGGTCCGAATGTAATATACACTTAATGATATATTATAATGTACGTCCGAGAGATTTGGGCTTTGAGAGTACCCGTACTCTTATAATATATTCGGCCGGCCAAAAATCGGATTTCGGATTTCTTTTTTTTGTTTTCCC